TGTGGGCAGGGCGGCCATCGCCAGCAAAATATCGGGCTCTAGCGCCGGCAACCCCGTCCAGATCCATCAACTCGGGTCGCTCGCCGCCCAAAGGAGTTCCAGGCGATGGGGTGAGGCTAGGGCCAGGATGAGACGCCTCGCCCACCCGCATGCCGCGCAGAGGCCAGCCACTCCAGCGCCGGCGTGCAAGGAAAGGATATCGGCGGCGCCTCCACCGCACCTGCGCCCGAGAGCAGAAGCCGGCGAGGGGGTCCCAGGCAGCTGGGGCGGATGGCAGCTGCACGCGCAGGCGAGCTCGACGATGACGGTGACTCAAGGAGCGCCCGACGTGCACAGCCCAGTCATGCCGGCCGTCGTCCGCGGCACCCAGCTCCAAGGCCAGTCGACCACGAGGTCCAAACCCCGAGCCAGCTCGGGCGTCTTGGCCTGCCCCCAATCGCCAGAGCGCCCCGAGGAGCAGATGCGCTAGGCATCTGACGACCCGCCCCAGGCCCATGGCTCAGCCATACTCTGGCCCCCGATCCTAAACCCCTAAACCCGAAACCCTAAGCCCCTAACCCCTAACCCCTAAACCCCTAAACCCTAAGCCCCTAACCCCTAACCCCTAACCCCTAACCCCTAACCCCTAAACCCTAAACCCTAAAACCCTAAATCCCTAAACCCTGAGGCCTTCTCCGTTGCATTCAAGACCTTGCCCGAGGAGGCCATGGCAGCAGCGGCGGCGGCGTCCTCTTCTTCGGATTTGTTCAGAAGGAGGGGTTTGGGTTTTGGGTTTAGGGTTTAGGGTCTAGGGTTTAGGGCTTAGGGTTTAGGGTCTAGGGTCTAGGGTTTAGGGTTTAGGGTTTAGTTTAGGGTTTAGGGCTAGTTGGGGCAGCCCTGCTGGGCTTTTCTACAGAACTAACAACGACATTTTAAAGAGGCTTTTCGAACAAATATTGCCAATCATGTGTTAGGCTGACGGTGCAGGGTGCAGGAGTCCCTGCGGTCCTCCGTGCTTCTTCCATTAGGTGCTCTTCTCACCTCTCCCGTTTTCATTGATGCGCTTCCGAAACAGAAGAAATCCCAAAGTATAGGACAGGCGTTGAAGACAAGGATCCGAGCATCTAGGATCCGTAGCAAGATCCCCGAAGTGCCGAAGACCCCCTACAGCAAGCGCTTGTGGCTGGCTTTCTATTTATAAAAGGCATGAGCTTCTTTCAGAGATGCAGACAGCTGACACACTTTAGGGTTTGGGTCTGAGGGTTGGGAAATATTGTAGAGCAAGGGATGCTCGTTTAAGGTCTGGAAAGCTGGGGCTCATGCAGTGTTGCAGCTCAGCACAGTGCGGCTTCATGTTAAGGACTTGGGGTTCAAAGTCTATAATTAATCCCGAGTCTTGGATAAAACCCAGCTGCTGAGGTATGTCATGTGGGAGACCGCAATTCATCCTTAAATCGTAGGACCCTCGGCCATAAACCCTAATCGCTCATCCTTCGTGCCCTTGGAGCGACTACTAACCGCAATTGGTATACTATGCAGCCTATATTGAAATCTTCCTGGCTGGCCTTATATTCCTGTAATCAGACCTATGAGAGGAGTAGTTCATGAGCAGCCACCGTAAACCATAAACTAGAGCCTTGTAAATCCCGAGATTGGACCTCCATGGCTTCCACGGAAATCTCGATCGCTGTCTCGCCACGATGAAGGGCATCTGCGCGGGTGAGCATCGTCGCGTACTCCTCGCAGTTGTAGGTTTTTTGGGCAGTAGCCTCGTGGCACACGAAAGGGTGAACATTTACAACTGTAAGGTTTTAGGATTTGGGCTTCAGATTGGGGGTTTGCTTTGGGGCTTGGGAACCTCATCCGCCAAATCCTGACGACACACGTGATAAAAGACCCTCACCCGGAAACATCGCAATAAAGCGATCGTAAGCAGTAGAAAAGGGTTTTGGTGTACTATGGAGTATGGGGCTGGGAAGCCCTCCAAAATCCTGAACCCCTTCAACCTTGAAAAACTTTTCAACCTAAACTCAAATTCGGCCCCTAAGCTTCCTAAGCCCATTTACCTTACCCACCGGCCACAAGACCTCAATACGGGGTTTAGGGTTTAGGGTTTACCCTACAAATCCTAAACTTTAAACCCAACAGCCTTGATAATTGCGGCGCCCTCAACTCTTCGCCTTTTGGGACCCCGAAGAAGCCGAAGGCCCTCTCCTCCTGAGCTGACCGCACCCTCCAAGACCGATACATAGCACAGAATCAGATTTAAGTTAAAGGTTTAGGGTTTAGGGTTTAGGGTTTAGGGTTTAGGGCCCACTTACAGTAGCCAAAACCCTAGTACGAAATCTGCCTCGCATAACCCCTTCAACTCCAGGTAAACCTTACGTACCTCGCTAAACTCCTGCACGGGAGCCTGATTAAAAACAAGCCTCGATGCTTCGAGATAGGAGATACATCACAGTCGAATTGAAAATGTTGAGCCCCCAGGAATAGAATTAATGTGGCAAGAAAACCCTAAACCCTAAACCCCTAAACCCCTAAACCCTAAACCCTAAACCCTAAACAAACCCCTATCTTCGGAGCCCCATCGGGGAAATTTTGATGACGCCGCTCGCCAGTCCTCGATGCTGAGAAGCCCATCCTGGAGAAGGGCTCTGGGACTTTGAGCTTGGCCATAGGGGCCTCAAGAATTGTAGTAATTAGGGTTCTTTTGAGGGAGGGCCTCACGAATTGGAGTAATTAGGGTTCTTTTGAGGGAGGGCCTCACGAATTGGAGTAATTAGGGCTCCTTTGAGGGAGGGCCTCAAGAATTGGAGTAATTAGGGCTCCTTTGAGGGAGGGTTTCAAGAATTGGAGTAATTAGAGTACTCCTTTGAGGGAAGGCCTCAGGAATTGGAGCAAGTAGGGTTCCTTTGAGGGAGGGTTTCAAGAATTGGAGTAATTAGGGTTCTTTTGAGGGAGGGCCTGAAGAATTCCAGTAATTACGGTTCCTTTTCAGGGAGGGTTTCAAGAATTAGAGAAATTAGGGTTCCTTTTGGGGGATGGCCTCAGGAATTAGAGTAATTAGCGTTCCTTTGAGGGAGGGTTTCAAGAATTGGAGTAATTAGGGTTTGTTTCAGGGAGGGTTTCAAGAATTAGAGAAATTCCAAGCTCGGGAGTGAAAAGATCCAGAGTTTCTTTCGCGATCTTCTGATCCACAACGGATGTTTCGGGCCAACACAAACCGCGAGCTTCAAAACCCGAAAAAAGAGATCGGTTGAGGTTTTTAGGGCTTAGGGTTTAGGTTAGACCTCATGCCGACAACCCGTCGTTTGTGGTGGCTTCTCGCGCCTCGTTGGCGTCGGCGTCAGCAATCAAACCTGGGTGGCCGCTTGTGAATTTGTGTGTTTTGGTGAGGTAGGCCCTTTGTGGGAGTAGGCTTCGGGATTTCGGGGTGAAACTTGAAATCTGTTTGGGTCCAGCGGACCCCGAATCGTAAACCCTGAACCATGTGCACCGACTTCTAGACCCTGCTATGGGCCCGTGCACTATGGCCGCCTCATGAAGCCCATATCATACTCTAAGGGTCCAAGTACCTAGTAATCATATATTCTCCCAAATATTAACCTAGATAACCACTATCTGCAACCGAAGTACCTTGTTATTTCGTCCTTTGGACCTGTAGGGATAGACCCGCACCCAAACCCTGATGCAAGGTCCATGTGAAGACCGCCTCAGGGGAGCCGATGGTCTGGCAAAGAACAAACCCAGAGAAGCATCTCCTACGCCCCTACAAACACCCCGAAATTATAAGCAGTAGTATGCAAGTGAAGGACATTCGGAGTTTGCAATATTAACATCTAGCCTAGCTTTCTTTTTGTTGTGTTTTTTTGCTTTTTCATCATGTCGCAGCTTGAATCAACCTACATCCCCAAAGCCAGCCTGTTCCGCTGTCCCTCATTGCATGGAGTCCTGCACCCCTCAGATTGAAAATGGAAGTAGCCATCCACGAAAGGACGTGGAGTATTGTTCAGGCGGAAAAGAACTCAAATGCCCCCTAAACCCTAAACCCGAAGCTGCGAGACGAAGTCGGCTATGTCTGACGGCGGGATGGGGCGGAGCATGACTTGGTCTGCAGGCGGCGTAGGGTTTAGGGTTTAGGGTTTGGGGTTTAGGGTTCAGGGTCTAGGGTTTAGGGTTTAGAGGTTTAGGTGTTTAGGGTTTTAGGGTTTAGGGTTTCGGGTTTAGACTAAACTGAGCATGACTTATCTTCGTCCTATTCGATCCACTTTTCCAACCACGGCAGCAGCCACGGGAAGACGAGGGTCAAGAATTGTGAATGATACCCTAATCCCTAAATCGCGAAGAGGAAGGCCCAAAGAAATTCTTCCAAGAATGCGAGCACGATGATCTTTCCTGCCTCATACACGAACCAGGCGATGCTGCGCGCAAGCGCCTTGGCGAAAGCCCAAATACCGCCGCGACGGGAGTCTAGGATTGATAGCGTAGAGCCCTTGGCAGGGCCGAAAATCTTCCAAGCGCTCCGTGCAATTGCTTCAGCAGGAAACGCAGTGGTTTCAGGTTGCAGGCTGCCCACGTCACCCACGCCCAAGCCCATCGAAGGGCTTCTGCACCTACATCACGGTTTAGGGTTTAGGGTTTAGGGTTTAGGGTTTCTGCGAGGACTGCAGCTCGCGCAAGCCAGACAAAGGAAGAAGTCCCGAATGACAGAGCGCTCGCCACTGCGTCTATAGACGTTCTGCAACCAGCTTCTCACTTCAAACATCCGGGTAATTCGGGCTTAGGGTTAGTGACAGAAACCTTCACCAGCCACCAAGCATCCACGTGTGAACCTAAATCATGGTTAGACAAACTCATCCCAAAGGTCCCAAACCCTAAACCCTTCTATACCCTTTTTCACCCCAAACTAAACATCAATACAGGCCCACAAGCCGAACATTTGCGAGACCTCGAGCCCTTTTCTCCGCACTGCCGGATGAAGCCTAGTGAGGCTAAGGTGTTCTTTTGTCCCCATCTTTTGACTTGGGCTACAGGGATTTTGTTGCGTTGAACATCTGAGGTTTCAGAGTTCGGACTGAATCTTTGGGATTTACGGCTGAGAATTCGGACCTAGAGCCTCCGTCTCAGAACATCTCTTTCCAACCCGGGTTTAGGGTTTAGGGTAGTGGCCCTAAAAAAGCCGTGAAATACAAACCCCAACAAGCTCTTCTAGAGCCCAGCGCCCTAGACCCGATAGCCCGAGACCCAGACCGATAAAGCCGTAAACGCGAAACCCGAAGCCCTTGGAACCACGAAGCGCGAGATTCTAAATCCCGGCCCTGAACCTTGAAGCCACAAAGCCGGTATAAAACATCCCTTGTTCAGGGGTCGGACTACTGAGTAGCAGTATATCGCTCTAGTTTGCGTATTGTTATATCATGGTATAGCGTGAAACCCTGCTCGAATTGATTCAATATTGAGAAAGAATGATACGAGGACTTGGCTGGGAAATCATTACTAGCTAGCTATTCCTATACCTTTGACAACCCAACCCCACAGTAACCCTAACACCCAAACCTAAATCCCAAACCCGAAACCCCAAGCCCGAACAACAACATAGGGGCCTTAATAATTAGAATAGGGTTTGGGGGCCCATTTTGCTATACTTACAATCAGGAACCCTCAAAATAGTATGGGTAATTATTACGAAAACCACCAAAAGTAGGTAAAATAATGACCCAAGACCCATAAAAAGGCTATTCTTCTACATACTTCGGGGGTCCAGGTAAGGCCCGAATATTCGCCCGGAAAACAAGAGCTGGGGGCGAAGCCTAGAGCAGAAAGGTCCGGTGACTCCGCAGTGTCAAGGAAGCCATCAAAGCTGGGGCCTGCGTCCTGCAGGAAGGGTTTAGGGTTTAGGATTAAGGGTTTAGGGTTAAGGGTTAAAAGTTAAGGGTTTAGGTTTAGGTTTTTGCGTTTTTTGTTGCCTGCTACTTCGCAAGGACAAGCCAGCATGAGGGGTTTTAGGGTTTTGGGTTCTGGGGTCTTTTGAAAGCTAAAAGCTCTAGGGCTTGTCCTCGTAAGTTGGTTGTAACCGGGGCTTTTAGTGGGGATGGACGCAGTCATAGAGTAGCTTTGCCTATCCAAATCTACTGTTTTGTAGGGTGCGTATAAACTCCATAATTTGGTGTTACAAGAAGAACCTACAACAAAGTCGGTTTTGGCAGCTTGAGGTAGCTTCACCCCCGCCCCCCCACCTCTCCAAAGAAAAGCACATAGGCGATCTAGGGCTTGCAGGTTTGAAGATTCGATGCATTCAGGGTTCCGGGGGTCGAGGATTTTGGGGTTTCAAGACTAAGAAGGATTACAGGGCTTCAGGGCTCGGCTATCTGCAAGGCATGGCGGGATCCGGAGTTAATCTTGGGAGCATAGGACGTAGATGAGTGCAGTTTAGGCAACAGTAGCTGTAGTGGCGCTAGTGCACCACGCCTCCAAGATACTAGAATCTGCAGACATACCTGCGCCCAAGCCCTCAACCCTAAACCCCAAACCCTCAAGACTGAAACCGAGGTTCAAGTTATGCGTCTACCTCGGAGTCCGGCTTTGGCTACTCCCACCACCATCAGCTAGATTGCAGAAGTGAGCTACCATCCGGTGCCTTGGCCCTGGCCTCTTTTAGGGTTTA